CGGTCTCCCAGGTAGCCTCCTCAACTGGACGATGTCTCCAATGGACCTCAATCACAGGAATGGCTCTGGATCGCAACCGTTTGACATCTCTGGCCAAAATAGCAACTGGCTCCTCAATGTATCTCAAAATGTCATCCAAGTCAACTGCATAATACTGAATCACATAGGACTCATCTGGAACATACCGGCGCAACTTCGAAACATGAAAAACTGGGTGAATAGCAGTAAAGGTCGGGGGCAAAGCGAACTCATATGTGACCTCTCCAACTGTCCTCAATATTCCAAAAGGACCTATATACCTGGGGCTAAGTTTACCCCGCGTCCCAAATCTCAATACAGCATTCATGGGCGACACACGAAGGAATACTCTATCACCAACAGCAAATTTCAACAGTCGACGCCTACGGTCTGCATAACTCTGATGTCTACTCTGGGTTGTCCTGAGCCTATCTTGAATCACCCTCACATGATCTAAAGACTCTCGCATCAAGTCTGTATCGTGCGGCCTGGGCTCTATAGACTCAAACCAATCAACTGGAGAGCGACAAGGCCTACCATATAAGGCCTCAAATGGGGCCATCTGAATACTCGAGTGGTAGCTGTTGTTGTACGCAAACTCTGCCAAAGGCAAATACTGGTCACACTGATCCCGAAAATCCATAACACAAGCCCGCAACATGTCCTGAAGAACTTGAATCGTGCGCTCCGACTGACCATCAGTCTGCGGGTGGAAAGTTGTACTAAGGTCAACACGGGTACCCAACTCATCTTGGAAGGTCCTCCAGAAGCTAGATGTGAACTGTGGGGCCCGGTCTGAGATGATGGAAACAGGCACACCATGAAGACGAACCACCTCTCAAATGTAGATATGGGCTAACCTCTCAGCACTGTCGGTAGTATAGACAGGAATAAAGTGTGCTGACTTGGTCAATCGATCCACGATGATCCAAATACTATCAAGACCATGGGAAGTGCGGGGTAATCCTACAACGAAGTCCACGGTGATCGTCTACTATTTCCACTCAGGAATGGGTAATCTCTGAAGCTCACCACCAGGACTCAAATGCTCGGCCTTAAACTGCTGACAACTCAGGCAACGCGATACATAATCCGCAATATCTCTCCTCATGCCGCTCCACCAGTAGTGCAGTCTCAAGTCCCGATACATATTAGCTGTGCCCGGATGAATAGAATATTTGGACTCATGGGCCTCGGTAAGAATCATTTGAATCAAACCCCAAACTCTTGGAACACAAATTCGATCACCAAATCTTAAAACCCCATCTAAATCTAAGGTAGCCAGGCCAGTGTCACCTCCCAAAACTCGATCTCGAAGTGCCACTAAGTCCTAGTCTCAAGTCCCGATACATATTAGCTGTGCCCGGATGAATAGAATATTTGGACTCATGGGCCTACGGTAAGAATCATTGAATCAAACCCCAAACTCTTAGGAACACAAATTCGATCACCAAATCTTAAAACCCCATCTAAATCTAAGGTAGCCAGGCCGGTGTCATCAAGTCTATGAACGCGGCAGTGGCATTAGTCAACCCAAAAGACATCACTAGGAACTCATAGTGGCTGTAACGAGTCCTAAATGTAGTTTTAGGGACGTCCGCTGCCCTAATCCTCAACTGATGATAGTCGGATCTTAAATCAATCTTAGAAAATACCACGGCACTATGAAGTTGGTCAAATAGATCATCAATCCTAGGCATGGGGTAAAGGTTCTTCACCGTCACCTTGTTCAACTGCCTACAGTCGATGCACAATCGAAGTGTACCGTCCTTCTTCTTCACGAAGAGGACTGGGGCACCCCTAGGCGATACACTAGACCGAATGAATCCCTTATCTAAGAGATCCTGAATCTGAACACTGAGCTCCTTGAGCTATACGGGGGCCATACGGTACGGTGTTATAGAAATGGGCTTAGTGCCCGGCTCTACTTCAATAGGAAAGTCAATGTCACGATCAGGAGGGAGACCAGGCAGATTGGGAGGAAACACATCTGTAAACTCTCGAAAAATAGGTAACGAATCAACGGTAGGACCCTCCCAACTAACCTCTCTAACATAAGCTAAATAAGCCAAACACCCACTAGCCATCAACCTCTGGGCCCGAACAAAAGATATCACCCCAACTGGCATGCGACTACAAGCGCCCCGCCACACCACTGGTGGAATACTAGGCACGGCTAAAGTAACGGTCTTGGCATAGCAATCCAATACCGCACGATGGGGGGATAACCAATCCATACCCAAAATCAAATCAAAATCCACCATGTCAAGCAAAATGAGATCAACACTCGCCTCTGAATAGTCACCACACAGGATCTAAATACCTAATCCACTACTGAAGACTCACCTTACCGGGGTGGAAACACGTAACGGCTCAACCAATAGCTCTGGGCTCATACTCAATCGAGCAGCACAATAAACAGATATATAAGAATAAGTAGAGCTTGGATCAAATAAGGTGGATGCGGGTTGATGGCATAATAACACTGTACCTGTAATAACATCGTCCGAGGTCTCAACATCTAGTCTAGCTGAAGCTGCATAAAAGTGGGCCTGTGCTCCACTACCCTGTGCATCGGCTCTGCCCCCTAACCTGCCTCCTCGGGGACCACCCCGTATACCCCTGGTGACCACCCCTGCGGTCTTGTCCCGGGCCTCCGCCTCTAGCTGGAGGTGCTGGCGCTGGCGTATGCCTAGCTGCCTGTGGAGCGCGTAAGGCTAACCTGCGATGGGGACACTCGCGGGCCCAATGATCTAAATCTCCACACTCATAGAACCCCTGGGACTGTCGACTGAGAGCTGGAGGTCGGCTACCCCGGCCAGAAGAGCCCATCTGAGATCTATCTCGGTTCCCACTAGGACCGAGACTTAAACCAATAGGGCGGTGCTGATCACCCTCCGATGCCTGGAGAGAGGCTTGGAAAGGGCGACTAGACTAACCCGACCGAAACCTCTACTGAGATCTTTCATAAGACTCTCGGGGTCTGAAACGGCGCCTATCATGACTATCTTCCTGTTTAGCCCTCTTGTCGCTGCCTCCTTGGCCCTCACAACAGAGCTGCTCAATAGTGCGTACATGGTCCACTACATCCAGAAATGAGCGGCCCGCTGAGACTAAAGATTGAGTCTCAATCCGCAATTGTATTCTCAAACCCCGAACAAAACAACGAACCCTCTCCTCCTCAGTAGCTAATATCATGGCAGCATACCTGGAGAGCTCGTGGAATCGGGCCTCATACTCTGATACTGTCATGGAGCCCTGCTCTAACCGAGCAAACTGATCTCTAAGCTGATCTCTGATGCTCCAGGGAATAAATCGGGCAAAGAAGGCCTCTGAAAACTCAGTCCATGTGACCGGTGGAGACCCAGCTGACCTGGTCTCTAAGTATGTACGCCACCACTGCCTGGCGGGACCGTCTAGCTGGTAAGCGGTGAAGTCTGCTTCTCTCGACTCCATAAAACCCAAAGTCTCTGGCCGCTCGCGGCAACAATTCGATTCCTTACCTCAAACGAAGGCTCCCCTCACGTTTCTGAGCTCACCTCTAGATTCCGCACGAAATTCTCTTGAAATTAGCCTTTTGAATCACCTAATTTGAGCTTAAAATGGAGGAGATATCTATGTTTGAAGATGAGGGGAAAAAATGGACGAAAATTGTCCTTAAATCTGGAAATTTTCAACAACGCTGCCACCTGACGTCGCGTGGATCTGCCACGTCACCACCGCGTTAGTATTCAACAACTCTTCAAACTTAAATTTCGATGTTCCGGACTCGTTCTGAATCGTAAAAACACAAACCATATATGGAGTCTGATTGGAAATGATATTTCGGACTCAACGGTATAGTGGGAATTTCCATTGGAGATCGGTTCGATGAAAATTGGGTCCCACACCCAGTATCGTTATGAGCCAGATTCCACAACGGGCATCTAAAGCCTCGGGAAGTGAACAAAGGGTAGTTCTAGACCAAAATCGATATTCCGAAGCTAACCTAGCTGTCAAAATTTTCATCTGAGCACGTCTTCCAAGAAGGTTGACCAAAGTCAACTTTTCAAGTTATAAAATCTCCAAAACAGGGAATGGGGCCTAAAACCCAAACGAACAACCAGGAGATCGAATAGTCAGTGCCAGCAAGTCATATATGACTTTGGGTCGCTACAGGAACGCTCTAAACGATAAAATGAATTCTTTAATTTAAAAATGACCTGGAGGGTCATTGCAATATCCACTACTAAAAGGACTTTC